AGTAGGCTACTTAGAAAGTGAGGTTAGTTAGATATTTAGTATCTTTATGTTCCTCTTCTTCTTTAGTGGGTTATAGATTAGATCTATCTTTAATAGGTATAGTCTAAGATTATTATTACCTACTAGAGCCTTTAGCCTTATTATTTCTCTAATATATATAAGTTTCTATAAAACCTACTACTAGTTTCTCCTTACTTTTAGTATCCTTAGTAATATTACCTCCTCTATCTTATAGACCTTTAGTATCGCCACCCTAGGGTATTAGTTCTAGCTAAATTATAGCCTTATAACCAGCCTTATAATAATAGTTAGTAGCTTTAGTAATATCACCTTCCCTATTCTCTTTAATTAGCTTACACTAGGACTTAGTTTTATATAGTTAATTTACTACTTCGCCTTACTTAGTGTTTTCTACTTCCTTATTAGCTTATTACTTCTAAAGATATATCTCCTATGAAATAGATAAGCTTATCTAATCCTTAACTAGGGCGACTTTAAGGATATACACTTTATACTTACTATATCTACTATCTTTATCCTTAATTAGGTAGTTCTTATCCCACCTATATATATTATAATATACTCCTCCTCCTATAGCTTTAATAGTATATCTCCTTATATTCTTACTATACTTAACGCTACCTTAATCTTTAGCTGTGGTATCCCTAGTCTAGTAGCTAATAGGCTTAGCTATTTTAATATTATAATTCTCTACTTAGCTTTATATATATTTTTGATTTTTAGGCTCTAGCTTAACGCTAGCTCTAGCGCTATAGTAACTATCGTATTCGCTATACTCTACGGGTTCTTTAGTGGCTTAGTGTATAGCCTAACCCCTATATGTATAGTATAGCTATGCCGCACGGAAAATTATATAAGTCGCTATAGGACTATATATAGGGTTATTAGTTTAGCGATATTAGCTGGAATACCGATCTCAGGGAATATCCTAAGTATAGGGAATAGTAAGAACTACTAGGCACTAATACTATTCTGTGGTGCAGTATATACTGGAAGTACAGGGTTGTTTATTATTGTAAGAGGAGTCAGTAGTGGTTGGAGTATTCGGACGAAGTTCTAAATGGAAAGAGGTGGGTGTGAGAGGGGATTGTATGCTCGGATGAGGGAAATTCTTCGGAAAGCTTGAAGGGATCCAGATGTGTTGGCGGAGGGCTAGTAGTTAACACGAAAGGTTGGCCACTCTGGGCGGTCAGCTTGCCAACTCTAGTGTAGAACATTGTATCTACTTGTGTGCATATAACGGCCTGGGGATTGTGGTCTGTGGCCCCCCAACCAAAATGAATGTTCAACTACAATGGTCGAATGCGGAGTTTGAGCAGCAAGCCAGCGCCTGTGAGCAGCGTCTCAAACCGCAACCATAGACGCCGGTAGTCACCTGCCAAAAGTCTCCTAATCGCCTGTAAATCCAGTACCAGGTGCCTTCTTCTCAAGTTCTCAGCTCGTTCCGAAAAGGCATTGGCGGCGGACCCCGTAGGGGAGCGGTCTCCTGTATATAATGTGCTGGCCTACTGGGTAGGCTGGTACATTGAAAGGGCTGGTACATTGAAAGGGCTGGTACATTGAAAGGGCTGGTACATTGAAAGGGCTGGTACATTGAAAGGGCTGGTACATTGAAAGGGCTGGTACATTGAAAGGGCTAGCATACAGCAGGGATAGTACATTGAAGAGTTAGGATATTGGATACTGGTACACTAAAAGGGTTGGTACACTATGTACTGTCCCACTAGAAGGGCTGGTGCACCCTGTGCTGTCCCAACGTAATTGATTGATTGATTGATTGATTGATTATTCATAGTCTGTCCCAGCCGCCATTTCGGCAGCTATGCAGCGTTCTGCTATAAGTACAAGGTCAAGGCCGCCCACGTTCGGCGCTCAGGATTGAACTCCACCCCACCATGAAATGTCCTGCTCCCACAGGCCGTTCACATATCGAGTCTCGTCCTCCTATCTGCCTCCTCGTGGGCGATCTCTCTCTGGTTTATACATATAGCCATCATAAATGTTCTGTGTCTCTGACTTGTCAGGCCATTCTCAGCCGTCCTTTGCTTCTGTTTAACCGTAATCACTCGTCTGCGCTGCTGTGTTGTCTTGTCGTGGATGGTGATCCAGAAACCAAATCCGTGGGATCCATCCTATGTTCGTTCTGTTTGTCTGTACTTCTATCGCCGGGCTGCAGAGCGCTTGCTGCCCACTGCAATAGTTGCTTGTCTTGGGTGCGCTGCATGGAGTGCAGATGTTCTCGTATGGAAGTACTTGAAATGCAAGGGGCATGCTCGTTGATGTTTCTCGGGCGGTGCTTGCTCCTGACACCGTAGACATCATCAGCGGTCAGACACGTCGCAAGCGCGTCTTTTGCATCGATGGTGTGCAAGGGTGTAGGCTAGCTGTGCATGTTGCAGCATATAAAGTGTCTTTAAAGAAGAGTTCTGAGCTGTGTGTGGTGTTGGTACTGGTGTTGTGTAGACTCGTTCAAATGTGATGTTGTGAAGTGAAGTTTTCGCAATGCTTGTTCAATGTGTTGTCCTGTCCATCTCGACCGTTTTCCACTGCCGTCCTGGGGCTGTAGTATTTGGTGTTTCGGGAGGTTGAAGAGTTGATGCCGTCGCGTCATGTCGATGGAGATTGGCCGTCCGTCCCCTACTCCGCGTCGCTGTCACGTATTCCTCGATATTCTGTACCGTAAACTATTGTCGGGCAGGAACAATGGGGCAACCAAGTCCATTTTCCATCCTGGGGCGTACTCGAAAGGGACGCAACCCCCTTTGCTGTACTGTGGCTGTGATGTTGGTGTTTCGTGAGATTCAGAAGTTACTACTTTTGGCGCAACGGCGCGTCGCTCAGGGAGGATGACCGTGTTCTCGCGATGTGTTCGATGCTGTTCGGCGTGTTCGATGTTGTTCTGACGATATCCTTCTTCGTCCCATGTGCCTCGGTCACGTAATCCTCGACCTCCGATGCCGTAAACTATTGTCGGGCAGGAATGATGGGGCATCCAAGTCCATCTTCCATCATTTGGCGTACTTGAAAGGGGGCACTACTTCCTTTACTGTACTGTGGCTGTGATGTTTGATGTTTCGTGAGGTTCGGAGGTCGATTTTTGGTGCGTCGGTGCATCGTTGGAAGGGGAATAATCGCGTTGTTGAGCTTCTCTTGGCACTCAGAGACACCCGAATTGCATCTCTGAGAGTTCCCAGCGGACACCACGTGGAGGTGGAAGCTCACCGTGTCCCAACGTAAGGGTTAGTACACTGAGGGTCATCCCACGGGGGGCCAATTTTTGGGTCTGACCTAGAAACAGGCTCTGCCACCAACTATAAACCTACCAACCATTCCTAATTTTTTTTACATAGGTATATGTATATAAAATCTAAACCATCACTTAATTCATTCATCACGAACACCTCACGCCTTAGTGGCTTTGAGCTGGTTGCGATGCACCAACAGTTTGCTGATCTTCAATATAGACATTACTACCAAATGCTTGATAACGATGATATTCTTGAGCTTTTCGAGTTGATTCAGATTCTTTTTGTTCATTCTGAAGAGCTTGAAGATGAGCAATTATGGAAGGCATGGGACCTATCTAAACACCTCGGCCTATCACTAACAATTTAGCCGGACACGCCGAAGACTAGCAAAGGGGGATCGTCCCGCCCCTCATTCGACGAAATTATAGGCCTCGCCACACAGTAATTCATACATAGCTTCCCAGCTGATTAGTAATCGCTGATTGTTCCTATCTTGGCCTTCAAATACATTCCCTTCATCCTTCCACCGCACGGTAACCCAGTGATCCCTTGATAAGCACACCCTTACACTGAAATTTTGGTCGTCGTAGAGCTCGGATATATGATACGTTGTGCTTGTCTTGATAAATTTGACTGCGTTTTCTGGCTTAAGAGTCCAAGTGTGGGGACATACTGGCATATAAATATTTGATGATCTCTCAATTTCTATTGCTTTAAGATGAACTTTGTTGCTAGGATCTGAGTTGGAGGAAAGAAAGTTGTTCCAATGCTGGATCTGTAACCAGCATCGTCTGTAAATGGAATCCATAGCCGGATTGCTGGAAACTAGAGGAGTGGAGAAGTATGCCGGCAGAGGGAAAGGGGGAGATGAAGGTCTGATACTAATTAGTGCTCTTTGTTTTGCTTTCTCTGCTTCTATGGGTGAGAGAGTTCGAGTACGCAGTAAAAAACAGCAATTGAAGATACCAGACCCGACATCTCAACACAATGAATACGAAAGGCTTCTCTGCTTTTATATATGCCATAGATATAACGTGACTTGATAGCTTCGGACTCCTCGGCATGTCCGTCACTAACCTGTTTCGAAGTGAACTGGGAAAGATATGATGATATAAATTGGGTAGAACTGATGGTAAGGCAGACTCTTCTCTTGACCTGCACATGAATAGCAAGCCAAGGATGCTAAACCATGGACTGAGACACAGATTCGCCTCGTCTTTCCATTAATGGGATTCCTTGCTCCCACTAATCGCCCTTTACTTTACGGAAGAGGCAGAGCTGAGTCCGAGTGCCACGTCACTGGCTGTTCCGGGTGTATATCTCAAGGATCTTCAACAACCTTCCCATCATCGTGGCTGTGATTCTGTAACAAGGTGTACACCCGAGTATATTGCCTTCCTTCAGGGTTTCCCCTCCTACTTGGATGAGGCTGGTATCTAACCCTTTTAAGCTCTCTCAAGCTTCAAGCATGGAATATGAGGAAGTGTATGCGAGCTCTGCTGTATTTACACCTCTCTCTCGATGTATATGTATCGAGCACGAGCTGTATTAAACCCTGGCCGTCCTCCTCTACGTTCTTTAGTTTCTAATAAAGTCTAGAAGGGGCGTGAGAGTAAGAATCTAATGTGGCTATGTTCCAGGAGCTACGGTCCTGGAGGAAGCATTATGATGCCATCATATCCACTTTTGAAGAAGGCGCCTTAAAACATCTTCTCCCTACACCTAGACAATATGGACAACAGGTCACCTCCTCCCCCATATTCCGTCAGGGACATCCCATCACCTCACTCTCCCTATTCATTCAGTATCGTCGAACCACCTCTGTGCGACAATTACAGTCCTAGAACGTCCACACCTCTTCGCCCTGTTTTTATCTCTCTGATTGACTCTGAGTCTGAAACTTCAGATAGAGAGGATGAAGATACAGATGGTGAAATCACTTGGGAAGATGTAATACTTGATTCGAATCCTGAAGCCACCGTCAACGACGCAGCAGCAGACGCCGTCAACGATGGATTAACAGAAGATGCCGTCAACGATGGATTAACAGAAGATGCCGTCAACGATGGAGTAGCAGACGCCATCAACGACGCAGAAGGGGATGCCGTCAACAAAACAGCAGCAGGCGGCTCAGTACACCCCCTGAATGGGCAAACTGACGATGGAAAACCTGATCACTCGGAAATAGAAAGACTCAACGCTGACTATGCCACCGCCTTCGACATCATCCTCGGAATTAAGGCGAAGATGGATCAAATCTCTGATGTCAAGCTACCCAAAAAGGATCGCTTTGATTCAAACCTACCCAAAAAGGATCAAATCAATCATCCCAACTCCTCGAGAAAACGAAAATCGCCTATGATACCATGCACCGTCCCTGAGACGAAGAAACGCAGACGACATCGACAAGAGGTCAATGTTAGACCAATCCGAGCTACTGTTGATGGGGAGTTCACCTGTTTATGGCAACGTGGGAAATCAGGAAGGTATTGTTGGGTCAGTGACCCCAGCGGCACAGAACGAAAAGAACTCAACGGCGAATTTCTGTTTCTGCACGGTTCAATGTTGTCGGTTGAGTTGCGAGGAAACGGTGACTGGCAACCAATATCAGTTCGTCTAAATGAAACCAATGCTCGATATGAAGGACGAGATAGCCTGGACAGCAATACTCGTATGGATATTGATGCTAAAACAATGTTCGATTTGCTGTGTGGAGTGGGCATATATCAAATTACTACGTTTAGTCTACATAGAGATTTATTCCTAGTTGATGTTATTCGAGAAGCCCAGCCAATCCAAGACAGCGGTACTAGCCTTGAGGAGGATAGCCGGAATACACCTCCTAATCAGTGTGGTGTTCCTAAGACACTGACCAGGTCTATGACAGCCAATTTTTGGTTTTGACAGAACTACACAATCCCCCTGTGCAAGACTCTCGACGGATAAGCTCGCAATTCATTCAGCAGTCCATGTACTTTTCATTTTGGGTAGGCTGTCCCATTGTAGGCTGTCCCATTGTAGACTGTCTCATTGGGTAGGCTGTCCCATTGTAGGCTAGCCCATTGGGTAGGCTGTCCCATTGTAGGCTGTCTCATTGGGTAGGCTGTCCCATTGTAGGCTAGCCCATTGTAGGCTGTCCCATTGTAGGCTGTCTCATTGGGTAGGCTGTCCCATTGTAGGCTGGCCTATTGAAAGGGCGGGTACACTGAATGTTCATCCATCTTTCGGGACTTGCAGAAGGCGGTTGAGAATCTGGATGCGTGCCGGGAGACGCTGATGGCGGAGGGTACCTAGATGCGCAGGTATGGCCCCACAGAACCTTCTAGGTCATTGCTTGCGTGTGGAGCTTTGCAAGTACATAGCGTATGTACATGCGCATGTACCTACATAGCTATTTTTGCTTCTATTTTGACAATGACACTTGTACTGGCTCCTCCGCATTTTCGAACTTAAGAGTTCGCATTTCTTTACTGTCTCTACAATTTACATGGGTATGGCAGGATGTAAAGCCAGCATGGTGCTCTGCGGTGTTCCGACGGTAAATACAGAAAGCAGAAAAGCCTCAGTTGCTAGCAACCTAACCAAACTAGAAGTCTAAAATCTGAGGTTGCTGGCACACACGGCAAAATATGGTAAGCAGGATAGCTAGAGTTGCTGGTACCCATGGCAAATACAGAAAGCAGGAAGGCCAGAGTTGCTAGCACACTGCGAAAAACTGAAGGCAAAAAAATTCGGTCGCCAGTTAACAGTTTCCGAGTCCGTCTTCTTGAATGGCTGCTCGGGAGATTATATAATCAATTAGCTGGCCTGGTCACCTGACCTGTTCCTTATCGGTTGTGATGTACCTTATCGCTTACTAAGATATCGAGACTTCGCGCTATGACTGTAGATAGTATTATTCTCAGCTCAGTACTTAGTTTACTTCGAAAAACTTATATATTAGCCATTAATAGATATTTCGCCATATTGCAAAATAGTAGGCAATGTACACTAAGGTACTTTTAGGTACCCCCTCTTCTTAATTATAGATATAAAGATAATAGAGCGGAAGCTACTATAGTTATACTCTAAACTATAAATATTAAGTTATATCTCTAATACTATATTCTAAATTTTAATAGATTAGTTTCTAGTCTAGCTCCTCTAGTAGTTTATATTACTTTAATAATACTTATATAACTAGGTTAAGTATTTAGTAAATCTTCATTATAAGTATATTATTTATAAACCCTTAAAGTTACTTAAGCAGCGCCTTATAAGTGACTTATAATTTATTATTACTATAAAATCAGCATAGGGCCTAAATATTAGCTTTCATTAGGTTTACTTATATAAATAAGATTAAGCTCTTAGAGGCTACTAAGATTATTCCTAGACTAGCTCCGCCCTTTCCTTTATACCCTTTAATTATTAATACCTACTATCTAGTAGACTATAGATCGCTTTTAAAGTTTATATAGTACATTTTTAGACTCTTAGTTATAGTATCAGGGAATACTTAATAAATATATTCCTTATAAGTAAGATTCTTTACGCTTTCGCCGCGTTTCTAGCTATAATAAAGTTAAACTTCTCCTAGAAACTTAGTATAATATTATAATAATCTAATTTTAGCTATAACTTAATATAGAGAATATAGGCTATCCCTTTTACCTAATACCTATAAGATACTATAATAACCTTATTACTACTTATAGGGTAGATATATAATACTATTTAGGAAGGTAATAGTCTCCCTTAGAGTAGCACTAAAAAGGCTATTAATAGTTAAATAACCTTAGTGTAATTTAAGAAAGCTTATAATTATTTCTTAATAGAGGTACTAAAGCTATTTAACTAGTTTATAGGGTTCTAATACTTAAGTAGTAATTCTTTAAGTGTAGTTACTCTTAGCCCTCTTATTAATAAGTTTATACGCTACTAAGTTATCTATTATATAGATGTATTTCTTAGGAGGGGATAAGATAGCTAAGTTACTATATTTATTATAGGCCTTATTTCTAGTGCTAAAATTATCTCTACTAGTTAGTATATCACTATATAAATAATTAGTACTATAAATTTCAGTTTATCTCGCTTCCCTAGCTATAGATATAAGGGATTATATATCTTTATTAGTACTATAATCTTAGTAGAATATCTTAATATCTATTAGCGTATTACCCTAAGGTACTATTTCAGAGTAATCAGGAATCACATCCTCTTAATTAGTATTATAAACGTATTTAAATCCAAGGTGCCTCTAAGATAAATTCTTTATAAAGCTAAGAAGCACATCTTTTCTAAATAATAATTTAATATTTTAGAAGATATTATTAGCCTTTACCTCTAGCTCCGCAAGCTCTATGGCGAGATTAAGGACCTAGGAGATAAGTTTTACTCTAAGCCTGCCAGGTGGGAATAGAGCAGTCTAAAAGTAAAACGGTGGGTACATCGGGCCCTTACACAGAGTGGTATGTCCTCTCCAGACACGTCCCATTTTTAGGATAGCTGCCAGGAACATCAGGGTGAATACCTTACTGTGAACTTTTTATGCTAAAATATGACATTATAAATATGTGCCCCCTAAATCACCTAAGGGTGTGCGCACGATGGGATGGGAGCTATGTATTGCTGGGCTGCTAACGTGAGCGAGTCAACGAGTCATAAGTGGAGGATCAAGCGGAAAGACAAAACTTTTTTGCTCCACTAGTGGTGAGCGCCTGACAGATTTAGAAGCCAGACAAAAGTAGGTGGAGCCTACATAAAGTTCTAGGCGTACACGCTTCACTCCCCTTCAGAAGGCAGCGCTACACCCCTACATTTGCGAACTTTTTAGGCCCCAGTCCAAGAACAAGGGTAGTACCATTTCCTGGACTCCAAGACAATTTCTGAACTCTTAAGTTCGTTTTAGGTACTACCCATACCATTCTTGCTCAAGTGCGTTAAATATAGGCCAAAACGCAGCCTTCATTCACTCTTTAAATCGCTACTTATATCGTTCACACAATAGCTAAGCTCCCAATTTCACCCCAAAAACGTGACAGAACGAACGAGAATGCCACAAAGGCTATTAAGGGCCTCATGCGAAGAGGTGATAAAATAAGCAGTCGTTTTAATGCTAATATCTATATTGTGGTACAATGAAATAATTAATATTAGGACTATAACTCTTCTAGTAGCTTATTGTTCCCCCCTACTCTTGTAGCAATTGTGAGTGATCTTAATATTAATTTGCTTAGCACTTAGTGAGCTAACTTTGTTGTAGGAACAAGCTTATCCACTAGCTGTAAGGAGATCTCCAGCAAGCTTCCAGCATACCCAGAATACCATACCCTCATCATCTACTTCCAACTTAACTACTGACCAGACAAGCTCAGGGGATGAGAATAGCTGAGACTGGATTAAATTAATATCATCAGGATTGCCATCGCCATTAGACATGTGCTAAAAAGTGGTGCTGGACACGCTTACACTCATGGCACGACTACCAGCTACGTAAGCATCAGGATGACGTACCTGAAATATTACTCATCAGCAGTTGTTGCCTACAACCAACAAAGAGTTGGTAGGTTCGCCTGCATTTGCGAACTCTCTAGTTCACATTTCCAGCGTAACCCCAATTGCAAATTCAAGTGCTAGATCATTCCTCCTTAATGTACATACGTATACGTATACATATACATACCTTCCTCTTTCAATATATCATTTACAAATTAGTAGAGTACCACACAATGCCAGTATTCGATAATAACCACAGTATACACCTTGCATCAGCGGAGCGACGTTCGGAATATTCCTTACCGTCACTCGATAACTAGTCCGTTTGTCGCAGGGTAGGCATGATGTCAACACTAAGGTAGTGCGCCAGAGTGACTTCGGATGATTTTCGGGTCTTTCATGATTAAGCTCTCAGGGTACGTACCGAAAACGCGCTTTTCCAAATTAGTGTGCGCTTCAGTTAACACACGATCTCATGGCCGCAGGAAAAATTGCATCAGTTATCTACATGTACCCCGCGCAACAGAACAATCAAGAAACATATTACAGTGGAGTACGGGTTCAGCGTCAGTATCTGTCAATTGATTTTTGCGAAAAATGGCCAAAAACTGGATCAACTGTGACGTACATAGTCTGTACAGCGTGTCGATAGTGCGAATTGAACCCTTGTCATCTTCCAATGATTTGCCTTGCCATGCCAGCATCAATAATCAGCGCCACATGCAACCGGCCCAGTGCACTTCAAAGAATCAAAGAATTCTCCATTATTATTTGAAGCCCATTTCTGACCAAGTATACATTCATGAAACAATTATGCACCTATTGCACAAAAATCATCATCAGATTATGTAAGAACATAACAGCTAATATGGCGTTCTACTGAAACTGAACCCTTATGTACGTAGAATCACAGAGATGAGCCAGGCTTACTGGCTTCGCGAGATCGCCAATTGTGAAAACGACGAACCTTTGTACGTATAAATTCCTGTAAAGACCTGTGATATGTCTTCTGCTCTTCTGAATCGGGGACTTTTGTACTAGCCGATGGCTGACCTGGGTTTTGAAAGGAGCGCATTTGTTGCAACAACTCCTGTGACTTGATGCTTTGGATCGTATCGGGGTGATTTTCTCCAAGGATATGCCGGCGATGATCTAGGGTGGTGTTATGAAGCACTTCAGCTTCATCATACCGGCCCAGCGCGTGGTACGTGGCCGCGAGGTCCGCCATGCTCCTGATCGTATCAGGGTGCTTCTCCCAAGTACCTCTCGTCGGAGATTTAACACTTTGACAGAAATCTCTTCATCCTCATCATATCGGCCCAGCTCGTGGTATGTCGTCGCGAGGCTAGCCATGCTTGTGATCGTATCAGGGTGCTTCTTTTCAAGCACCTCTCGTCGGAGGTCTAGTGCTTGAACCTTCAATGTCTCCGCCTCATTATATCGGCCCTGCGTATAGTATGTCACCGCGAGGCTAGCCATGCTCCTGATCGTATCAGGATGCTTCTCCCCAAGCACCTCTCGTCGGAGATCTATTGGGACAGTACATAGTGTACCAACCCTTTTGGTGTACCAGTATCCAATATCCTAACTCTTCAATGTACTATCTCTGCTGTATGCTAGCCCTTCCATATACTAACCCCTCTATATACTAACCCATCCATATCCCAGCCCCTCCATGTACCAGCATTTCAATGTACCAGCCCTTTCAATGTACCAGCCCTTTCAATGTACCAGCCCTTTCAATGTACCAGCCTACCCAGTAGGCCAGCACATTATGAGGAGACCGGTCCCCCTTTAGGGACCGCCAAGGCCTTTTCGGAACGAATTAAGAGCTTGGGAAGCAAGGCGCTTGCCTTATGAAGAAAGAATGCAAAAGAAAATGAGCCTGTACTTATCTTATGAATCCCGAGTCATGGGTAGGCACCTCGTTTTACCTCTCTCCTACGAGAACTCGATCGAAAACGACTATGCAAGACCCGGAGCCCAAGCACTAGTTCGAAAGAATGGTTCCAGAAAATAGTAAATTGTTTCATAGATAAAAATAATTATGGTCAACATGACCGTCTCCGGGAACAGAATACTGCTATGCGTGGTTTTTCAAGAGGCACGGAAGAGAACCTGGCTCAGAGTACGCGGGACGAGGAACAAACTCTGAGGAAGTTGCTGAAATATAGCTCCATGAAGCTGTTGAGCGATTGAAGCTGTCGATTGGAAGGACCTAGAGATTCGAATTTAAAGATAATAGAATTAATGAGCTCCAATATCTCAACCGCAATGAATCTAGAAGTTGAACAATGTCATAGGAGCGTAGAGACGGAGTATGGACCCAAAGGGCCAGCGAAGAGAACCATGGGATAACTAGACCGGAAGAGCCCTGGCAGCCCCTGGCGAACCTCCTAGCTGGAGAGGATCGAGTTATTAAACTTTTATATTACTGCTCTGCGTGCCTGGTTGCGGCGGCAGAGTGCAGCAGCGTCTGGCGAGTGTGGTCCTAAGCCTCCTATTCAGCACGTAGCTCAAGAAAGATATCTTTATGCCCAATCACAGCAGCAAGTTGCAGCGGTATCCAACTATTATCATCCTCAGCCTTCTTATTAGCTCCTAGCTCAATAAGCAGCCTTATAATATTAGTATACCTAGCTATAGTAGCTAAGTATAGCAGCATCTAGTGAGTATAGTCCCTAGCTTCCTTATTAGTGGCCCCCCTTAATAAGTAGCCTTATAATATCTTTATATCTAGTCACTAAAGTAAAGTATAGTAATATCTAGCTATTACTATCTTTAGCCTCCTTATTAGCTCCTAGCTTAATAAGTAGCCTTATAATATCTATATACCTAGTTATAATAGTAAAGTATAATAGTATCTAGTCTTTATTATCCTTAGCTTCCTTATTAGCTCCTAGCTTAATAAGTAGCTTTATAATATTTATATACCTAGTTATAGTAGTAAAGTATAATAATATCTAGTCTTTACTATCCTTAGCTTCCTTATTAGCCCCTAGCTTAATAAGTAGCCTTAAAATATCTATATATTTAGTTATAGTAGTAAAGTATAATAGTATCTAGTTATTATTATCCTTAGCCTCCTTTTTAGTGCCCCTTTTAATAAGTAGCCTTATAATATCTATATACCTAGTTATAGTAGTAAAGTATAATAATATCTAGTAAGTATAATCCTTAGCTTCCTTATTAATATCTAGCTTAATAAGTAGCCTTATAATATCTATATACCTAGTTATAGTAATAGAGTATAATAGTATCTAGCTAATATAGCCTTAAGCCTCCTTATTAGTACCCCCCTTAATAAGTAGCTTTATAATATCTTTATATCTAATTACTAAAGTAAAGTATAATAGTATCTAGCTAGTAGTATAGTCCTTAGCCTCTAAATTAGTACTACTCTTAATAAGTAGCCTTATAATATCTATATACCTAGTTATAGTAGTAAGGTATAGTAGTATCTAGCCTTTACTATCCTTAGCTTCCTTATTAGCTTTTAGCTTAATAAGTAGCTTTAAAATATTTATATATCTAGTCTTAGTAGTAAAGTATAATAGTATCTAGCCTTTACTATCTTTAGCTTCCTTATTAGCTCCTAGCTTAATAAGTAACCTTAAAATATCTATATATCTAGTCTTAGTAGTAGAGTATAATAGTATCTAGTTAGTATAGCCCTTAGCCTCTTTATTAGTGCCTAGCTTAATAAATAGCCTTATAATATCTATATTACTATAAAAGGCAGTAATATATAGTAGTATATAGTAAGTATAGTCCTTAACTTCCTTATTAGCACCTAGCTTAATAAGTAGCCTTATAATTTCTATATATCTAGTTATAATAGTAAAGTATAGTAATATCTAGTCTTTATTATCCTTAGCTTCCTTATTAGCTCCTAGCTTAATAAGTAGCCTTAAAATATCTATATATCTAGTCTTAGTAGTAAAGTATAATAGTATCTAGCTAGTATAGCCCTTAGCCTCTTTATTAGCGCCTAGCTTAATAAGTAGCTTTATAATATCTATATTACTATAAAAAGTAGTAATATATAGTAGTATATAGTAAGTATAGTCCTTAGCTTCTTTATTAGTACTTAGCTTAATAAGTAGCTTTATAATTTCTATATACCTAGTTATAATAGTAAAGTATAGTAGTATCTAGTCTTTATTATCCTTAGCTTCCTTATTAGCTCCTAGCTTAATAAGTAGCTTTAAAATATCTATATATTTAATCTTAATAATAGAGTATAGTAGTATCTAGCTAGTATAATTCTTAGTCTCTAAATTAGTACCTTTCTTAATAAGTAGCTTTATAATATCTATATTACTATAAAAGGCAATAATATATAGTAATATATAGTAAGTATAATCCTTAGCTTCCTTATTAGTATTTAGCTTAATAAGTAGCCTTATAATATCTATATACCTAATTATAGTAGTAGAGTATAATAATATCTAGCTAGTATAATCTTAAGCCTCCTTATTAATACCCCCCTTAATAAGTAGCCTTATAATATCTTTATATTTAGTTACTAAAGTAAAGTATAGTAGTATCTAGCTAGTAGTATAATCCTTAGCCTTTAAATTAGTACTACTCTTAATAAGTAGCTTTATAATATCTATATCCCTATAAGTAATAGTAATATATAGTAATATCTAGCTATTACTAGTATTAGCTTCCTTATTAGTACCTAGCTTAATAAGTAGCCTTATAATATTAATATACCTAGTTATAATAGTAGATTATAGTAGTATTTAACTAGTATAGTCCTTAGTCTCCTTATTAGTACCCCCCTTAATAAGTAGCCTTATAATATCTATATACTTAGTTATAGTAGTAGAGTATAATAGTATCTAGTTAGTATAGTCTTAAGCCTCCTTATTAGTACCCCCCTTAATAAGCAGCCTTATAATACCTTTATACCTAGTCGCTAAGGTAAAGTATAGTAGCGTCTAGTTAATATAGTCCCTAGCCTCTATATTAGCGTCTTTCTTAATAAGTAGCCTTATAATATTTACATACCTGGCTGCGGCGGTAGAGTGTAGTGGCGTCTGGTTAGTGTGGTCCTTAGCCTCTATATAGGCGTCTTTCTTAACGAGCAGCCTTGCGACGTTTATGTACCCAGCCGCAGCGGCATAGTGCAGCGGCGTCTGGCGGGTGTGGTCCTAAGCCTCCTTATCAGCACCTAGCTCAACAAGCAGCCTCGCGACACCTTCATGCCCGGTCGCTGAGGCAAAGTGCAGCGGCGTCTGGCGGGTGTGGTCCTGAGCCTCCTTATCGGCACCTAGCTCAACAAGCAGCCTCGCGACGAGTTCGGAGGCGGCAAAGTGCAGCGGCGTCTGGCCAGCGCGGGATTTGGCCTCCTTGTCAGCGCCCAGCTCAACGAGCTGTGAGACTACTTCTGCCCTTCCCGCTATCGCTGCTAGATGCAAGGCAGTCCTGCCGTTGTGGTCTCGCAGCTTTTTATTTGCATCTTGCCACAGATATCCGACGATGCCCCGATGTCCCTTGTATGCAGCCCAGAATAGCGGTGTGTTTCCGGATGTGTCCAGAACGTCAAGAGCTGCTCCCGCTTCGATCAACCGCTTGACCACTTCGAGATGGCCATTCATTGTTGCACAGTGCAGTGGCGCTAATCCATCTCTGCCGTGCACATCAAGATCTGCGCCTTCGCGGATGGGGTTCCGCACGATTCGAGCCTTGCCGGCCTGGCAGGCGTAATGCAGTGGTGTCCATTCGAGAAGATTTCGGGCGTTTACATCGGCTCGGCGCTTCAGTAGTTCAACGGCGGTCTCTGTGGATCCCTTCGCTGCGGCGTAATGGAGAGGCGTCCAATTGCAAATATCCGTCACATTCACATCCTCTCCATCTCGTAAAGCCCTTGTGATCGCTTCGGTACCCTTCCAGTCGCTGGATTGAGCGAGTCTGTGCAGCTCCTTGAAGTTGAACACTTTAGAGTAAATTGTGTCTTCAGCAGATCCGAGTCCTACAAGGTCGCCATTCCAGGGACGACCCTGTGCCTCGTATAGCCTAATGAGGCTCGACAGGATGGCCCGGTCGGCAGTTTCCAGCTTCTCATCAAGCTTCGATTTCAGCTCCTTCAGGTCCCGTATATCTCTCTCCTCATATTGTTGCGCCTCCCTCAATTCGATGACTGCAGTGACCATTCTCAGATATTCCGTCAACTCGGCCGTAGCCCTCGTGGCAATGCGACTCTGTTCAGGGAATATCTTTACTGTTTGAAAGAGCCACAAATATACGAGGCCGGCCTCCGTCCAATGCCCTAGCTTCTCCTGTCGCCTCGCATGTTCTCGTGCCAAGTCAATGATCGTGTCTGACTGCAGAAGCTTGTGCTCAACACTCAGTGGCGGGATGATGCTCAGGTAGACATCTTCTAGATTTCCAAGTCCAGTGCTCTGTATTTCCCGAGCCATCTTCGACAGAGAATCAATACGGAGCGTAAAGGATCGCCAGGCGTCAACGCCGCGAGTGTCATTAGGTTGTATGTCGGCGCCCTCGATGGGATGCGTCAGTGTCTTCGCCACAGCCCACATAAAAGCCGAGAACATGTCTTGGGCATATAACAAATTCAAGGGGTCATGCGACTCAGTCGCCAAAAATACATTCCTGGCTTCTCCCTCACCAACGTGCTTGTCCAATTTATCCTTTGGTGGGGTCGGTGATGACTTCCAGATCCTGTATCCGACAGGATGATGAGTTGCGCTATAGCCGGATCCGACAACCCTATGAGGCTCCACTTGAATTCTGCTGCTGTCATCGAGCTGTGCCGTCATCTGCACTTTTATTACTCGGGCCGCGCCATCAGGCATAAGCAACTGGAGGTGTCGACGGAGCCTCTGCGTATATGAGCCAAGAAGTCGCAGGCTACGCTTTGCGGGCGATCTTTTGGCGCGGAACCGCGCGTCGTCTTCGGAACGTGGAGTTCCCGGAGACACTTGCCGATTCTGGCCCTGCTCTTGATCGCTGACGGAAAAGAGCCACAACGATAGCGCTGCCTCGATCTCTTCCGCGGATGCTTTCCAGCTTCCATTTTGTTGTTTCAAATGAAGGTTGACTGACTGGGCGTTTGATTCGGCAGAGTGGGCTTTAAGGGACCACACAAAGCTAGCAGTGGGAGAAGAGCTAAATAGAGCATTCATCGTGACCTCGATTGCCCTTGCAAGGGAGATAGCCTCTGCTGATGCGGGACCTCGCCAATCATACAGCTGCCCAAGATCTCTCCTTATCTTCATGACCGTATACGCCTTCGATGTGCCATTCTTGCTTGTCTGTCGCAGTTTCTCATGTATCTCAGGACTTCCGCCGGTCATGATCCCCCAGTTGCTGTTTTTGCAGTTTTTAACTTTCGACTCGGGCTCTGGGGGATCCCACCAGGGTGCATTGTCAAGATCCCCCAGCGTTATCGCAAACCATTCAAGCTCGAATCCCCGAGAGAGGGGATGGTATCGAGGAGGTTCCGCTAGCCCACGACGAACCCACGCCCTGAGGCCAGTCATTAAGAGGACTGCCCCAAGTTGAGCGACCGAGGCAGACCAGTGCATCCCGCGCAAGCCGATAAACTGCACGACGAACCCGCAGAGACCGACTACCGCGCCGAGGACAGTTTTCAATGCTAAAATGGTACCTTGACGACTTTCTTCGGGCACTCGGTGGGACGTCGTAATGAGAGCTCGCTTATCCGAGGCAAATACCGCAAAAGAATTGAAGACCTGGTCGCTCACAGTTTCGGCCCTCTGCAGCCAAACCATTCGGATTTCCTTCCCCCGCCCTGGTTTATATCGCTTCTCTTCGGTGCTGCTCTCAACAACATGGGAACATATCAACATCCCAGCCACCAACGTAAGTGTCCCGGCTGCAGTGCAGGGAAACGCATAATCTGCAACGGGGCGTCCGTCCTTGGCAAGTCTCAGTGACGGGTAGTAGGTGGCGAACCCAGAATACGTGAGGACCCCCAGCTGTAGGATGGTCCCGATGACCGCAACCACAAGTAATTCTCCTCTTCCTAGCTGGTTGTGGGAATTGAGCGCAATGTTTGGCGCATCGGCCACCATATTCCTTGCGATGATAATCTGGGGCGCCGAAGGATCGCGTGTTCCTTGCCCTTGCTCCGCATTCAAGTCACCGGGAGAGTGTTTCCGATGAATCATGTGTTTGATGCCGTCCCAGAGGTTCGTCTCTGATGAAGAGGTGAGTATGAGTCTGCTGGAGGAGAATGAGATTACTAACCAAACTCCTCAAGATAACCCCTTTCCACCGCTTTACCCACGCTGACAGCCCCTACTGTTGTATCGACCGATCGACCATTTCCAGTGCTCGGCGTATCCGTGGATATCAAGCATATAAACTCAGAAACCGGGGATAATCCCATACATCTTACCACCCCGTGGCCATTCCAGACCTCACAGACTTCTTTCGATGTGGATGACATCAGTTCCGCTTCGGCGACGGCGAGGTTCTCCCTGGATCTTCCGATGATGGCTCTGAGCCATGAAGGGCCACTGACTCTGATGGCACTGACAATAACAGTGATTATGCCTAGGGGAGCCATTGCCAGTATGAAGTTGTCCGCCCAGCCCATCGACTGGCTCATAAATTGCATGATGACTCGTTCTCCGAAGAGCGCCAGCAGCCTGAACCCAAATGACCGTCAGCAAATAGGCTAGAACGGGGGGAGGGTAACTCGTACGGGGCCAGATCTGAGAATAAATTGTTTGAGAAGTCATCTCCAGAATCAGCAGCGGCACATCCCGCGAAGGATAGCGCCAGGAGGAATCTCCAGTTCTCAGCAACCGACATGCTGCCAGTCGAAGACGGGAAATGGGTGGGTAGATCGAATCTTTACGATGGAAGTATACTGCTTCAGGGTAAATAAGACAGTGGATGCCTCGGCAATAGTTTCGGATGTAAGGTTGTTGAGTCTCGAGAATCACTTTCGGCGCTGCGATGGCGTGATACACACAAAACCTTATAGTGCAGGAGAAACAAGAGGCTCCCGTGCGATGGACAGCTTAAGGGCAGTTGGACAACGCCAGGACGAATACTGATCACTAAGCCGATATGCAGTCTTTCAACTTTTAGCACTATCTGCATAGTAACTGGCCTATTAGGTTCACGCTGCCGAGGATCCCGACCCCTTTGTGTATATTTTCTTTGCACGCAATAATACAACAAAACCGGTGGCCGGGGCTTACGCCAATGCACCAGGTCTGTCCACAGAGCTCTCTTGCCCAATTAATCCCAGGTTTTGTGCTGTGACAAGCCCACAGAGTTGTCAATTTCAGCAGCCAAGCCAAACCCTTCTGGACTGCCTGCATCAGAACTCACCCTATCCGGGCGACTTGCAGCGCCCGTGGATGCCACGTCCAGCGGCAGTCCTACCTTACAGAACTCAACGAGTCTCAACTGGTGGCTGCTGTTGGTTACATTCTCGAGCACCGTCCCCCGTGACGCAGCACACTGTGGGGTCTTACCGGTCAAGTATCCACAACGTAGTAAGACGGAAACCAAAATATTTACGGGCTAGTGAGGCGAGACTCTCATGGAGGGGGGTGGTGCTTAGGCCGAATTGTGCTAGCCGATTGCACGGAGCGAGAGCCAGACCTGCCACGAATTCATGCATATGCAATGCAGGTCGCCACCAATAAGAACAGCTTGATCAAGGAGGCGGTGTGATGGCTTTTGCACCCCACGCGACTGCGGCCGCTATTCGAGCTTCACGCAGTGCAACTGGTGTTGGTTCGCCTATTGCAAAATGGCGGTTAGCGGATGGGTTTCTCGGCTGGACCGTAAGCACAGCCCCGTATTGAAAGCTAGTGTTTAAGATGCCGTCATCTGCTGATATAGTCGGATCTCGCTCGGTCACGCAAAATGACTGCCAAGCGGACATTGGCCAAGCTGAGACATGGGAGCTGACGTTAATGCGCAGGGCGGCGAATACGGCAACGCTCTCCAGGCCGCCTTGGAGGGAGGCCATCATGAGATTGTTAAACTTCTCTGGGACAAGGGAGCGGGCGTCAACGCGAAGGACATATACAGCAACGCCCTCTAGGCTGCCTCATTTAGGGGCTATGGTGAGATTGTCAAACTTCTCTTAGACATAGGAGCAGACGTTAATGCGCAGGGCGGTGAATACGGCAACGCTCTTTAGGCCGCCTCATTTGGAGGCCATCATGAGATTGTCCAACTGATTTAAACAAGGGGTGCTATTACATCGCCTTTAAGGCGGACCCGCTCTAGGGCTCTAAGTAACCCATCGAAGGAACTTCCGCCTCATCGACCCTGATCATTCTGAGTAAACTTAACTATTCGTTCTGTGGCCTCATGATGGCGTCCACCTACTCAAGCCACGGCCGATTCTGAACATGGTTAAACAGGCCATAATTAGGCGCCTCCATCTTCAATTCACCTATATTTGCGAACTCTTAAATTCACATTTCTAGTGCATCCCCGAAGTGCAAATTCAGGCGCTAGATGATATGTACATATATAATTAACTTCATAAAACCCTAGCTTCATAATCCATCAGCTGCAAGAGGAACGTTAGCCGGCTCTGCATAATCTATATGATATCGGTTGATGACTTAAGAAGAAGCATAACCTTATAAGAACATACGTGGCCATTTTCGCTTTCACGCCGCAAATTGGGTTATAGCAAATTTCACTCCGCTGGGATTTATCTCTTTAGCCTTGAAGCTGAAGAGAAAGATCCTTTACTCCGATCATAGCTGGGTCCGCACACCTTTGCACGAATTGCAGCCAGTTTTACTGAACCCACAAGGATCCATTTCAAGTTTGCTTGTCCTCCTGGTGAGACTGAATAGTCCATTGTGGCCTGTTTGCCACTCTGAATCGGCCTACCCTATACGTCAACACCGCAGGAAACAATTGCCAGCCAAATGGTCCACCCTATACTTCTTTTTAAGGTCGCCTACAACAGTTCTAGTACCTACATACCGGCATACAGTATACATACAATTATTACTAGAGTTACCAGATACCCAGCTACTACATACTACAGCTAGACATTAAATAACATAAAGAGTCACAATGTCTATATTTATACTAAGATTTAAGACTATAGCACTTTAAGCTATGGTTCTATAAGTACTTCTTGTATTCTAGTATTTCGTTGTAAACCTAATAATAGATTATATAATAGTCCTCTAAAATAGAAAGGTACCTATAATGAAAGTGCTTAACTATATCACTAGATGTATAGAATTACTAGGCTAGATCTTTTATTAAGGGATTATCTAGTTATAAAGTGAGAGCTTTACTAATATATAAAAAATAGTATCTAGGTTACTCCTTATCTATTTTAACTAAGATAGCCTTTAGTGTAATACTTAGGGCTTTTTATAGAGGACCTTCCTTCTATATATCTATTATAGGTGTAAGTTAAGGTTTAGTTAGTAATATATTTTTATACTATATTATTAGTCCTTCTTTAACTATATAGTATATAATAATAGTATTAATTATATTATTCTATCTTTAATAATAGCCCTTAATTATATTATTGCACTTAGTAGCTAGGGCTTATACTAGATATTTCTAGGCTAATCCTTAAGGATAGTAGCCCTTATTAATAACTTAGTTAGGGTTCTATTTACCTCTTAGTTAATGCTTAATATCTTTAATAGTTTAGCTATCTATTTACTTATTTTAAATATTCTATTTAAGTGATCTTTTAAGTCTTAGTTTCTTATTTCTTAGTTTATAAAGGGCTTTAGTATATTTATTAGACCCTCGCTTTATTAGTTAGAGTTCTAGTTTAAGTTTCCTAATAAGAGGGTATATATTTATAGAGGCAGCTTACTTAGTAGTAAGGTCTATTAATTAGCACTTACTAATTAAGTAGCTAATACTATAAGCCTATTTTATTAGTACTTACTATAGCTTTTAACCTTAGAGAATAACCTATATATTAGTATTAACTTCTCGCTTAAGATAATATCTCTAAAATAGAATAGAGTTAGTATAGTCTAAAGCTAGGTTTTATAAGGCTTTACTAATATTAACTATATATTATACTTATTAGTATTAAAAGATCTTAGGATTATTTAGGAGCTAGTAGGAAATAAACCACTTTAGTTAAATCTATTAGCTATAGCGTAGTATAAACTATATAATATTATAGAATACTTAAAGCCTAATATCTTACTAATTTATTTAATCTATCTTACTATTATTCTATATATAATAGGTGTATCTATAGAGATATTATATCTAGTAAGGGTCTTTATAGTATAGCGGAATACTAAATAACTATTAAACTCTCTCTTTAAAGGTAATAGTAGTTCTTTTTCTCCTATATAGATATTAAGTATATCTAGCTTATTAGAGGAGGTAAGGCTTAGAGCTTTAAATACCTAATAGCGAAATAGGATACTTAAAAGGTAGATATAAGGGCTAAGGAATAATAAAGGATTAAAGAAGTTCTTAGGAACTATAAAGGTCTTACTATAATATAGTAGTAAAATTATTAATCTTTTTAATATAATATAGGTTTATTATTTAATATAAGTTATATATATATATCTTTAACTCTAAGGTATATCTTTATAAAAGCTAAGGTAAATTAAGTAAAGATATTATATATACTACCTTTAGGATCCTATGCTAATACTATATAAATATCACTAAATTAAAGGTATAAAATAGATATAGGGTAAGCGCTAGTAGGAGTAAGTAAAAGGAGAAATAATACTATAAGAATTTAAATCTCTCTTAGCTAGAAATATTTTTTAGTTATACTTAGTATTATTTTAATTTACTCTAATAGATCTTTAATAGTTATATAATAATTTACCTACTTTTTATTACTTAGCCTATACTTCTTAGCTAGGTCTCTAAGAGCTTAGAAGTTTATATTAGAAAGTATTCTAGGGGGAAGGGGATAATAAAGATTCCTACTCTATATATCTTCTAGTTTAATTTTAGGTTAATCTTATTACTAGTAGCTCTTTTAATATATAGCTAGAACACTTTCTAGTATATACTTAAGGAACTTTTCTTCTTTATTCTATAGAGCTTCCTACTATCTTTATTAACTTATTAATTTAAGCGCTAATTAAAGAAATTATATAAAATACCTATAGATAGGGATATATAACTTTCTTTAAGGTTATAATTAATAACTTTATAGAACCTATAAATAAGACCTATTAATATAAACTATTAAGAGTAGAACTAGTTACTAACTCTTTCTATATATCTTCTATTATATCTAAGAGAGTATTACTACCTAGGCTATAATCTTAACTATTATAATAGCTCTTATTAAAGTCTTTTACTATATTTTAATAATATTCTAGTAGGTGTATATTTCTACTAAATAGGTTAATAGTATCTTTAAAGTCTACTTTATCCTTATTAGAAGATTCTCCTAAGATAGTTATATTACTCCTATACTTAGAGCGCTTATAATTATTATTATTAAAAACACTATTAATATTAGACTTATCTAAGCATTCTAAGCTTAGATTAGAGTATTCTAAGTCTAAATTAGGAGGTAACTATATATTAGGAGCTATACTATAGTCTAGCTATAGTTTAAAGGGGTAAAAATATTAATCTTAGAGAGAGGAAGGGGTTATAATAGTAGGAAGAGTAAAGGGTTATATAGGAGATAAAGGGTTAGTTAGAGATAGAGAAGTAAGGATAATAAGGAATAAAGGATAGGGGAAAAAGAATATAGCGATAAGCAGGTATAGTATTTATAGATCTATAGAAGGGCTACTAAGTGCTAATTATAATATAAAATAGTCTATTTTAGTACCTTAACTAGAAGCTTAAGGACTAACTTCTTAGCGACTAAGCAAATAGCTTACTTAACTACTATAGTAGAGCTAGAGAGTAGTACTATAGTAGTACTTATTAAGGCTCTAGCAGGGGTCTATTAAAAGAATAGAGCTTAAAGTAGTAAGTGTTTTTAGGCAAATCTACTACTAAGAATAATAGCTGAATCTAGTAAAAATATAGGTAATTTCGCTATAATAACTTTATAAGTAGTAAAGTTTAAATAAAGATTAAGTAAAGCTTTAGTAAAGCTTCTACTATATATATATATTTATTTCTTAGATAGAAATACTCTCTTAAATAGTTATTAATATAATTACTATTACTTTTATTAAAACTAGCTTCTTAATATTTATATATTAGTAGTGATTTATATAGTATTAGGATAACCTAATTACCCTCTTAGAATAATACTCTAATTAGTTATAACTTTAACCTACCCTAGACCTCTATCTAGTATAAGTCTATTAACTATTATAACTAGAGACTTTAACTATTTAAAAGGTTATAAGCTTAAATAGTACTTTATTTTATAAAAAATAGCTTTATCTTTAAATTTAAAAGCTTCTACCTTATATTAAGAAAGTCTTAACTTACCCTATACCTTAGCTTAAGTTTTAATAACTTCCTTTACTAAAGAAGACTTAAAATAATTAATAAAAATAGCTATATAGAGGGATTAACCCTTAAAGATATTAAAACCTACCTCTCTTTAATAATTAATTTAATAGCTAATACTATTATTATACTTAAGCTATTAATTACTTTTAATATTATTAATATTATTCCTTTAAGCTTTATAGTAAATAATACTATTATTACTTAAAGGCTTTAAAACCTAAATATTATTAAAGCTATCTCTACTATATAGTAAACCCTTTAGTAGCTAATAGCTATTATTAATTTACTATAGTTATAATAAACCCTTAGTATTATTAATATTAGTTAATTAGCTTTTAATATTATTAATACCTCTTAATAGCTTATTTTATAAAGCTCTTAAAGTATTAACTTTTTAATTAAAGACTTTAAAAACTATATTATTAAGGATTTTAATAAAAAGATCTATAAGTTCCTTAAAACCTTTAAATTATAAAAGCTTTATAACTTTAATTAATAGAAATAAGCTTTAGAGATTTAATTTAAAGCTCTTAAATTATTATTATTTATAGTAGACTTTATTATAGCTTAATAGCTATTAAACTTAGATTAAGCTATCTTACTTATATTATTAAAAGATAGCTATAT